GCTAATTTAATTTCTTCACTGTAAACATGGAATACATATCCTTAGGCTGTGTACATTACAGATCTGTATCCACACTATCTTTTAGTTCTTATTATTTCATTGTTTGCACAGCACTTTCTTCTAGTTTATTTTAGCCTCGTTATAAAATTATTAGTTTAATTATATTTATCTTATTGCTTCATGTACGTTCACTTAATGTAAATTGTATATATTGGAAATCCTTCGAATAAGGGCATCTGCTAAACCCATAATAATGTTTCAGACATTCAAAATAACTATCAGCTATCATGTATTCAAAGTATCAGGGAACAAGTCCGATAGAGTCTATTTAATAGTATCTAAACACTTTGCTTTCTTCAAGGTGCATAGAAATTGCAATGGCAAAATTTGCTTTTAGAAACGAAACATGGCCACTTCTCAACACTTTATATACTAAGGGGCTTGGTATTTTCACAGCCTATCCAGACTGTAAAACAATCAGCGGTGTTTAAAGAATTCTAACAAACAAAACTTCAATTTGTTCAGTAAAGCCACAGTCCATATGCTGTGTAATTTTCTATCTCTTTCAATCAGATTAACAGATTTTGTCAAGAAGTCTGAAAAACAAGCTCTGTGAACTGTAACTTCTCTTCAGATTAAACTCCATTGATGAATACTCAGGGGGTAATAACATTGCTAAAAATTACAGTAACACAGTTTCCACTTTCTGTGTGACAAGTGGAATGGGATAACAATCATGCTGAGCTGAAGTGAGCTACACGAATCCCCCACTCTCTCTTGCTTTCCTTGAGAACCTGCTGGTTATGAAACATAACGTTCCAATGAATATTGGCAAGAAAAGGTAAAGTTGGTGTAAGTGGTCACTGAAAGGAACTTCGGAAGATAAAAAGATGTAGAAATAGGATGGGTTCATGATTACACAATTTCACCAATAGAAAGCATTGTAAGGCCATGTATCTAGAGATTCAACAGAAATGGATTGTTGGGTTCAAAGGTATTATGGCATTAATGTGGAAGAAGTCTTTCTCTCCTTTTTCTCTTGCAAATTAATTGATCCCAATGCACCAATAACATTAAAACCCTGTGCATCAAAAGCAGCTAACAGCCTTCATTTTGAAAAATAGAGAAAGGGATAAAGGAAAAGCCTTGAAAGTAATTGTTTATTTCCATATTCTTACTGTACCCTATGTGATTAAGAGGTAGTAAACATTTCAGTAGGGAGATATCAAGAGTTAGGAGGAGGGTACGAGCTAACTTTTTTTTTTAATCTCTTTTCAGCTCTAGCAAAACTGAATAAGGACCCAAGTCCAGCAAGATAGATGTTTCAATTTTTGGTCTCCAAGTCCCCCAAGTTATAAATCCTGGCTCTAAATCTGGCCAGTTTGTCCCCAAGACTGGGAAAAAGGACAGTGGCAAAGACTCCTCACTTCAAAAGCATACAGCACTGTTTTGTAGGAAGCTGCACTGAATGGTTGATTTCAGCAACACATTTAACAGTCAACAGATTCCCAAATTTCTTCGCCTGTCGGAGGGGGAAATCAGCAGCATAAAATCCTTTAAAGGAACAAGGAAAATAAAATCAATGAGGTCCTGTTTTCTATAAAACTTAAGCTGACAGATTCCTGAGGTGTAAAAGGGTCACCAGAAGTTGTTACTCCTCTTGATTAAAAACAGCTGTTCTCTCCTGCTACTGCGGATAATCTTTGTTTCAACACCAAGGAAATACACATACAGTACTAGGCTATCGGGTTAAAAGACCGCAACCTCCCTGACAAGACAAAATTAAAACCCCCGAGGTGGTACAAATTGAATGACTTATGTTGATGATTAATCATACAATACGAGGCTGGACAACAAATAAAATGTGCGTTTTTACACTGAAAATCACAGAATTTAAAATATGACTCCAATAAGTATTGGAATTAACAACTTTTTTTCACCCTCTCAGTATTTCAGCGGTTCTTTGACTACCTCCCATGATACATAACATGGGGAAATGAATGAGTGAAGATTACATGGCTAATGCTTCCCGATAAAGAAAGGTCAGAGAGGATCTAGTCTCAAAAAGGATTAAATGGAACAGATCTTTAAAGCATGCTTTTCAAACAGCCATGGCAGAGACCCAAGCCTTAAATTACACTTTCGGTCTCAGGCTGGATTTCAGGCCTGCAACTAAATTATCCAATAATGTGGTTTTCAGGATCTATCCCTTATCTTTAAGTTATCTGTAATGCAGCAAATTATCATGTTACTGTACATCTATAATGGACTATTCCATTGCTGAATAATAACTAAGATGGATTACACAACACATATCTCATGTGAAAAATATGGCCACACAAAATCTGACAATACTAAAATCAGTAACATTTTTAATTCCAGACCTGGGGTACTACTGTATCTTTGTGAGGTTTGCATATTCTCCCCTTGTTTGTGTGGGTTTTTGCCGGTTTCCTCCCACAGTATTGGTAGGTTAATGAGCTTCTGGGAATATTGACCCCAGTGTGTGCATGTCTGTGGCTGTGTGTGCCCTACAATAGATGAATGACCCATCCAGTATCCCACCTGATAGGTCTGGCTGCCCTGCAACTCTATATTGGAGAAAGCAGTTAGAAAATGGATGGATGGACTAGGATTCTACATGTCACGATGGTAAAAGCATGCATATAAATGTACCTCAGTATTCATCCAAAGAACTTCTTTCACATTACAAGCAATGATGGGCCTACTGCAATATGCAATTCAGTAGTTTGGTTAGATCAAATTCGAAAGAGAGATGCAATATTCAGAGTACAGGATATTTGGCATACGTTGCCTGACTTAAGAGATTTGGCAGTCTTGCTATAAAGGGTGGAGGATGGGCTGCAAGAATGCCACATAATTACAAGCATCATGCCAGTGGTTTGTTGCCGAGTACAACTTTCATTTACAACTTTACAACCTGGGAGGCAGCTGCCATAGTGAAGATGGGTGGAGGAGGAGGAAGATTCATGTGTGGTATTTCAAGAACAGTAGTAGTGTCTAGCTGATCTCTGTCGCAGCACAACATTTGAAATTTAAAGTTCATGTGATGAAATGAGGAACGTGTGTGTGTGTAGGAAGAAGTAGGTATAATGGGAGATTTTGATTTTCCTTACTTAGGCTTGGAAAATTCACTAATGTCAACAACTAAAACAAAAATGCTAGACATGACTAAAGACTATTTTCTTCCCTGGCTGTCAATGGCTGTCAACCAACCAGTTTCTGCCTTCTGTTAGTCCAGTTTCGTCATCCAGTCATATTAATTGTCAAAGGGCAGTCAGACCAAAGTTACAGCGACAGTACTTCATGCCACTGGAGTCCAACCAGTTGTCTGTGAGGGGGTCTTACCTCTGGACTGTTCAGGTATACAGAGGTACTGTCTGTATTGGTTCAGTCTTTAAGGAAAACAGAGATGAACCCAAAACAAAGGTGTGTATTTTCAGGAGAACTTGTTATAAGGTTATAAGATGAATGTTAATGGAGTTAAAATTCAAAACACTTAGGAACATTTCAAGAGTGGGCAAAAACCTGACAGATTACATTTAGTGTAGGTAGATGCAAAGCATTAAGTACAGGTAGCAAAAAAAACTTCTACAGCTATAAGGTGTACAGTACATGTTGTACAGCTCAGTGGAAGTCTATAAATACTTAAAGATGTCGGACTAAGGATGATGTAAGTAAGGGAATGTGCTTCGTTTTTCGGTGAATGGAAATCCCAGTGGACTCTGGTTGAAATTTACTATTCTGTATTAGTTTTGACGGTGATGTTTAATTTGTCTTCAGTTTTAGTAGCATAAAACTCAAAACAGCTAAAAAGAGAATGGCGGTTTTATTTAAGAGATGACGTTGCGACACAAATTCTAAAACACCGACATATGTAAAAATAGGACTGTTAAAATTACTGTGCTGGCTACACATACCTTTTACAGCATGTGTGTGTGAGAGCCTGTGCATTAATCGATCGATAAACAGCTGTACAGAGGAAGGGGGGGCGGACAGTGGGTTTATTTACATTAATTACACAGATCGACTGCTGCGTTTTATCAATTACAACTGTACTTTGTCCTTGTTGTTTGCTGAAGACTTTTTGTATCTATTAACAGCTACTGTATAATCAACAGCAAATACCTCCGTGCTTTTCACTTACTGATTAACCTCAGTGAAAAGCAGGTGTGTAATGCGTTTCCGCTAGGAGTAATTATCTGATATCAACCAAGGTGTGCTGCGCATAACTTGCAGGTTCCGAAATATCTAGTTATTATTCAGAACAAGAACATTAACTCCCGTAACATATCACTAAGAAGTGTAATAATATTTAATTAGTAAAAGCTCATCTGAAAAATACAACAAACACAGACACTTAAGCTATTCCAAAATTAATGTATTTGATTAAACTCTCAATTACTTTCATTAAAGGCTTAAAAGGTTGTCACCAGTGAAAGAGCATAATCAATTTAATCTATTTAAAAAAACAGTTATTTCACAAGATCTACCATCGACTTGAACTGAGCAGCGAGTCAGATTTCTAGAATTCGTTTTCCTTTTCAAGCCGCCTGAATCTCTCTGTTCTGAAAGCCCTACTGTCTATAACAGATTCTACTGTCAAAGAACTGTAGAACACATATGCATGCATTTTGATCAACTCTAGCAGTTATAAAGGAGCCTTTGTTATTGCTATTATGTTGAGTATTCATAAACCAAATTTACGAGAATTAAAACTTTAGAATTCACTCAGAACAGTCTGGGTCTCCGACAGCAGATCTTACATATTTCAACCTACTGTACAGTTGCATTTGTATTCTCTTACCATACTTCAGGTCCAAAAATAGTTTTTAACCAAAAAATAAGATCATTGCACAATGTTACAGAACGCGTACTAAAATCCTAAAAGGAAATCACAAAAAGTACGTTTTGCAGCTTACCTCCTCGGTACTGTACATAACACGAAAGCTATAGGTCTGTACAAAACTGAGACCTACCTCTTTTGTCCTGTATTTTAACAGTAATTTCCACTATTGGTTCCGTCTCCCTGTCCAAGCGCCTGGCTATGACAATGTCCCCGCTGTCCCGGTTCACAGTAACGGCAGAGTTGTCTAACGTCGGGTAGATCATCTCAAAACTGGCAGATTGGAATTTGACGGGGTTCAGATTCATTACCACCGAACCGATACTGGCGTCTTCGGACACGCTGATGATAAGGGGCTCCTCGGGCTGCAACAGAGTCCTCCGCTTCCTCAGCTGTCCGGTCGGGGGCTCGTCCGCCCCGGACAGCGCCGTCGCGGACCTCTGCAGGGGATTAATCTCTAATTCCATGTTTCGACTTGTCAGCGCCGGCCAGCCGTGGTCTCTAGCGAAGACATTGAACTTGATGGGGGCCGCCAAGCCCAAAATCGAATCCACTAGTAAGACCTCTCCGGTTTTGGGTACAACGTAAAAACTCCCGTTTTTAGGAAGCCCAAAGTAGAACAATTCCGCGTTCTTCCCACTGTCAGTGTCCTGTGCGGTTACTTTGTACACCACTGTTCTGAGCGCCGTGGCGTCGTCCAGAGCAATTCTGACGCCCGAACCATTAAAAGTGGGTTCGTGGTCGTTAGTGTCCAACACATCAACTTTTATGGCTGCCACTTCAGCCACCACTTTGTCAGGTGAAGTACAACTTTGGCAACATAGACCCAGACGCAGAAGATATTCGGGTTTTTCCTCTCTGTCCAAGACTTTCGAGGTTTTCATTCGGATGTTCCCGTGCTTGTGGTGCGAAAAGACATGGAAATCGGCGCTGCCGTCGCCTAACAGTGTCAGGTGCGGAGCTGGTTTTGAGCACCATTTGTGCGAGTCTATTCTCTTTATAGGGATATTCAGTCCGTTTAATTTGGACCCCGCCGGCGAGTTTTCAAACACATGCCCGTGAAAAAAGGGTCTTCTTAGATCCGTTTTATTCCCCCAAACAGAGCACAGGATGTACGATATTAAAACAGTCCAAAGCATGGCTCCTATAAAGTGCATCGCTGCGAGTGCTGAACAAGAGCTTCTACTGTGAAAAGCGCACCATCGGGGTAATTTCTGCAAAGTTCGTCCGAGTCCAGGAGGGCTCAATTCTTTTGAGGTAGCGCCTGATGCTGTGAAATCTACCCGGAAAGTTGATGCTTTCGGTGGGCATGGGGACTGCCCTTTTCCTCAGTCTCCGCTAACTCAGGTTAGCCTTCTGTCCTATCCATCCCGAGTGCGCGCTGCTGACGAGTGTGTTAGTATTTCTAACAGCATCACGCAGTGCTGGACAGCGCCACACTTGCGAGGGGGTGGGGGGTGAGGGGGGGCGTGGTCTGCACGGTAGGGAATCCTCAGGAGAACCCCACCCACGTGACTGCTGCGGCGCGTTTCTGCCAGACTGTCCGGCGCACAGTGTGGGTGCAGAGTCTGCGAGGGACACTGGTGCATCACAAAGCTACAAATATGTAACAGATAAAACAATGGCTGTAAAGAACTTGGAGTCCAAGCCCTTTCTTATCGCTTCTTTAAGGCAGTTGAAGTTAGCTGCTCGGGTAACCATGAGGATTTTGCATCGCCGAACACGGTTTGCGCTACAAGGCACGTGGTTCTTGTTTCTAACTGATGGCTAACAAGCTAGTGGCCTGCCAGTTCATTTCTGTTTCCTCTGCTCCTAATCAGGTTCTGAATCTGGACCACTAGCAGCCTAACGGAAGAAAAGTTAACAGTTTATTGTTGTTGTTTTTTTTTACTGTCTAGAGAAAATAGGATTATCCAACACAATGCAAATTGGGATAATACACCGCTTGAAATGAGCAAATTTTGCTCTCACAAAAATAAAGATAAGATTTTATCCGTTTTCAATAAAAGGCATTCCCGTCTGAACTAGCTTCTTTATAAACCTTATATCTGAAAAGCCTTATAGAGAAACTCACCCAGCAGGGCGATACTGTACATTTCCGAACTGTAGCGTGTTCCATGCTGTGTATTAGGAGCTATGGGATCCTTTGGTGTGAAAAGGAATATAGAAATGTAAGGAATTGTTAAATGTTATTGATTAAAAAGGTATAACCTGTTAAATATAAAATGTCCTCAAAACTCCAAATCAGCAGTCCAGTAAATGTTACTGTACACCACACTGCTTAATATACTATATAATTATGTACAGTATAAATCTTTACTGAAACAGGAAGTTATTAACCACAAATCTTTGAAAATGACTGCTTTGGCTTATTTAAGCCCCAGTGTAATAGTTCAGAATCTGGCTCTACATATAACAGATCAAAAAGAATTAAATGGAATTAGTCTCCAAAATCCAAACTCAAATTCTTGGATTTCAGTAACAAATCTTGGCTTTTAGAAGAGTGTTGGAAATAGATGTTTTTTTTTAAGCACTGCTGAAAACAAGCTTTCTGCTCAAGCTTTTTAAAAGTATTAATTAAAAGCATTGATGAACATGTACTAATTATCTCTACTACTACTACTCTACCCACAGAAGCAAAATATTTCCATCATCAGAGAATTTAAAGCTATCACATTGTGTTGAATTATCTTTGTGTGTGCGCCTTCATACAAAGACACGGACCTATTGGTAATCTACGCTTTCAAATCACTACATACTGTATCACTGAGTTTTATTTTGTCCCTTCATCTTTGAACCGATTTATCCAGTACAGCGTCGCAGGGGATGCCAGCAGGGGATGGCAAGCAAAGGGAGCAAGGCAGGATACACCCTGGATGGGACACCAGTCCATCCCAGGGCAGACACAGACAGGGAGAACATACAAACTCCACACAGACAGCAGCCTGGCAATTGAACCTGGGGCCTCAGCACTGTGGGGCAGCAATGCTAACCAATGTGCCACTGCACCGCCAAACTTATTTTCTAGAAAGCAAAAACTGTTTTGAAGTTGCATACACTTCTCCCATTGGAATTGTAAAACCATTTTTGAAAATTAAAACAACTAACACTTGTACTACAGAGCACAAACTGATGTTACTTTTCATGTATTGAGCATACAGTAGGTGAAGAACTGTTTTTTCCAAAAGGTGTCCTACACAACGTGTAAAAATGCTGACTCAAACAAGTGTATACGCGGCCTCTCTGGAGAAATTTAAATTCAAGACTTTAATTCTCTTTTCTCATCCTAAAAATGTAAGCATTTCTGTAAGATTCAGTCTGTTAGCCTCAGAGGCATGCCCCTGCACACTGCATGATTCATAAGGCAAGGAATTTCAGATCTTATCATCTGTACGCATCTTTGATGGAAAAAGATTTGACCTTTAATAAGCAGATTACATCCATTAAGCAATCAGTGTGTGATGAATAGATAAGTGTTATGATTAATAAAGAAGCATTTTCACAAAAAAAAAACCTAAGAAGATGTCTTAGCTCTCTGCCTGCCTGGGGGAATGAATAAAAATAATTTCTAAACATTTGTGAGACTGTAATTTGGAGGCGATCCAGATGGACTTATTCTTTTGCCAAGTGAAGTATCAGCCAAATGAACACCAGAGCAGCCTTATAATAAATATATATAAATTATAATAAATAAATATATATAATATAATATAATATAATATCTAACCTGACTGACCAGCAAAATGTTAATCTTGCCATTCTAAACTGGCAGAATCGCAATGCAGTGAGGGCATTTCTTTTGCACAGATCCTTTTCTTTTTAAGCACCTTTCAAAGGTTTCTCCACCTAAATATGTTTCTTTTTCACTGAACAGGAACGCAATGGAAACACAGATATAATCTTCTGAATTGTTTTCTCCACTCTTAGGTCACAGAGATATTACATCTTCATTCATACCTTACTGAGCTTTACCCTATTTTCTTCAGATTGACTGAAAAAGGTTCCTATCTGTGATAAGGTATACAAAAAGTGTATACTAATAATAAACCTTCCTTGTATACGAACAATACTGTACATCCTGAAACAGTATGCAAATTCTCAAGAATTTACAGGTAGGAATGATTTTTCAAAAATCAGTTGATTACATCCATGGGGGTGATGATTTTGTTAAACAGGATACAGTTAAGAAGATGTTGTGTAGTATAAGTTACAACCGATATTTTGTCAATTGTTGAAAGACAGGATAGTGTGCTAAATCTTGTTTATGAAATACCATTTGTTCAATTGTACACAAACAATGCTGAAAACATTTGAGGTAGTCATCTGTACAATACAAAGACAATTAACCTAGAAAACAGACATTTACCCTACTTCAAGATTGTCCATTCTGCACTAAACCACATTATGAATTGATGAAATCGAATAAAAGCCTCTCTTCTCAATATGTAAATGAAAGCTGTTTTTAAATGAGACTGTCCAGTGCCATGATACAGCTCGCTCGAGGGAAAAAATGTACAGCCGGAATTCTAATTGAAGTGAATCAGAGCTGAGTGCTCTAATTTATGTATAGGGAATGGTGGTCTAAGAATATTCTACGCCTATACAGAAAATGGGATTAGAAATCACGAGGAAACAAAAGCTTCAGATCAAGTTTTAACTCTGTTTCAGCTTTGACAAAGAAATGCATTTCAGACAGAAATGGTTTGGCATTTGTTTTGAAGTAACAATGGGATTAACACCTGCAGTGCTAAAGAGGGAAGACTCAGAGTTGCAGGAAATAGTTTGCAAGTTTGTGGTAACAGTTTTTTTTGATAACTGTGAAATGACACTCATTTATTTTTTTCATTTCATTACACAAGTCTATAAATTAAATGCAGGGAAACAATTTTCCTAAATTCTGTTTTTTGCTTTTACCATACAAATCTGTGTATCCATGTAAGGTACATCCCCTAATAGATTCATACTCTTTTACTCAAATGTGGTTGGATTGCAAAAACTTTTCTAAAGAATGAATCACTCTAACTCTAGTTTGTTCTTCAGCTGAAGCACTCAATGCCATTTAATGTTTTACAAACGCTGGATGGATGGGTGGACTGATTAGCTGAAATGAGCACTGAATTTTAAGGTGCTCCTTAATTTGACACGCTATTAATATGTATCGGAATTCATGAGAGCTTCCTTTGTTATCGTGAGATAAGAAAATAACTTTCACAACACAAAGGCTTTAAACCTACAAACCCAGGAAACATGCTGGCTTGTAAAGTATTCCTGTACAATATAATAATAAAATAAGTATGAGCGGTAGAAATAGCTTGGCTCAGGACATAGAGATCCTTCTACACAGTGTGTTTTTACCTTATGTAATTCAGAATTACCTAACTGGATTTCCCTGTTAGAGCAAGGACTCCTGCTTAATCTGGGTCCTGCATGTGAATTTATGAGAGCTAACTTTAATAGACATCAAATACGAGAATGCTTAATGGATTCTTCACTTGCTTTAGAAGTAACGGTCAAAAATATTAATTACATATTTTCCCCATAATCAAACCTGTCATATTTGCGTCTGTGAAAATCTTGGCTTATTTCTTCCTAACATACAAGTAGCAATACATAATTAGAAGAGTCTGGCTGAAAGGACTGTTATGCAAGCTCAGTACCATGGCATCATATTGCTTATTAATAAGTTTATCTGCTGGATGCTTTATCCCTGAAGGTACCAAGCAGTGAATATCTTCCAGCACAGTTGGCGATGCTGGTACCTTGAAGCATTAGCAGATTATAAGAAAATAAATATGCAGCACACTAGACAAATAGAACAGCAAAAGTATTTAAAATGTATAATATGTGTAAAAGTGAGATATTTAGCTGCATCTCACATTCCAGAAATTGCAATGCTGTAAAGAACATTTGAATTATTATGCCTTAAGATTTTCCCAACTATTATATTTGAATACAGTGTTGCTAAATACTGCACTAAAAATACCTCGCTAGTTTTAATCTGGCTGAAGATACAGTACCTGAATCCGCCGTGTAAAAATATGGTTTAGATTTATCCAATTTAAGCACAGATCAAAAAAATAAGAGAAAATAAAAAACAGATAAAATGAAGAGTTAAAGCTCAAAGAGTTAAACCATCCGTGGTTAAGAGACCTTTTATATTGAGCAAAGAGGATTGTGTTCCTGGTTAAGTTCTTGGTTACACTAAGTTTCTCAGTGGGACCAGAGCAGAGCAGCACTGGCTTCTGAAATGAGGAGAGTAAAACAGCAGGGATGGTTTCCCTTCATCAAAATGCAGCAGATCTTCCTGACCAAGCACCCACTGTGTCAGCAAGCACTGGCCAAGTTAAGTCTGATCCATCTGGATAAAGTACTAGGCGACAACCACTAATT